CACTTTGCCTCCGACATCGCCAATCACACAGTCCGCATCCTAACGGACAACATCTGCACGATGTTCTACATAAACAGACAGGGTGGAGCCCGCTCCCGCTCCTTATGCGCGGAGGCTATTCGCCTGTGGAACTCGTGCATCCGCAACCAAGTCACCCTTATAGCATCCTATTTGCCCGGAGTGAACAATATCAAAGTGGACTCCCTCAGCTGAAACTTCACCTCGGACCACGAATGGGAGTTACATACGGAGGTGACGAACTCAATTTTCCACCAGTGGGGATGGCCATTGATAGACCTCTTTGCTTCTACCCAGAACACCAAATGTCCCCAATTCTGCTCACGTGTGTCACTTGGCAAACACTCTCTGGGGGATGCCTTCCTAATCAAATGGACAGCCCCCCTACACTACGCCTTTCCTCCCATACCGCTCATCCCAAGAGTCCTGCACAAGATCCTGAGAGACAAAGCCCTAGTCATCCTGATTGCGCCATCATGGTCTCGCCAAACCTGGTACCCATACCTTCACAGGCTAGGGGTCCAGCCTCCCTACCCACTATCGTACCGGATAGACCTACTATCTCAGGACGACGGCAGGATATTGCATCCACAACTCAATACCCTGCATCTTCAGGCATGGCTTCTCTCTGGTTCTCGGAGGTGGAAAATCGCTGCTCCCAGTGAGTAAAAGACGTCCTCCTCCACAGCAGGAGACAGTCTACTCGGAAAATTTACCAACAGAAATGGACACGTTTCTGTCACTGGTGTCAGCGAGCCAAAGTGGAGCCCTGTGCCTCACCACTAGATACCATCCTAGACTACATTCTGGACCTTAAAGCATCAGGACTGTCAATCTCCTCCCTAAGAGTACACCTCTCTGCAATAGCAGTATTTCATACGTCAGTAGATGGCTTCTCCATTTTTAACCATCGTATTACAAAAAGATTCCTCAAGGGACTCCAGAATGTGTACTCACCACATAGGGCCCCACCCCCTTTGTGGGACCTAAATCTTGTTTTGAACTGCCTCACCAGACCTCCCTTTGAGCCACTGGCAACAGTACCACTTCCT